CGGACCCTTCCAGTTAACTCTAGTAGTCATTTCCAGAGCACTGGAAGCTCAACTATCACTTCCAGTGAATGTAATCATGACCTTCCAGTTGCCGTAATCTGTAATGTAGTTATAGTCTGTAAGTCATAACCACATCGAAAATCAGTGAAAAATCTATGTGCGGCAGTGCTTGTCGACCGGTATATTAGCGATGACCAACAACCACATTATAAGGTTCATGTATGGTTCTATTTAATTTTAGTTTTAAAAAAAAACCTAAATTATTGCACTACCAAAGGCTGATGATTTACAGGTTGGCTCCAGTGTTCATCAAACTGTACGTAGTGATAATCGGACACCGTTGTGCTTTGATCAAATTAAAATTTTAAAATTTGTTAAAACTAACTTCACTATCCCACATCGCGGATCCTAATAAGTTGATCTTAAGAGACCATCATACTGTAGATCGCTATGGACCACAAATCACTAGTCAGCACACAGATAATTACCATGGTCTTGAAGAGTAGTAGCATGTTGCTATTTAATTTTGACTGTTCCTAGCGGAATTTTTCTATAATGTTGACATTAGAAAAGTCCATAGCGGAATGTTTCCAAAATATTTGGACCATTATGTTTTGTTAAGCTACAATGGACATACCATCCATGCTTCTCAGCACGTGTTGCCACTGCACAAAATATAATGTTTTTAATTTATCTTCCACACCTCTTACTCTTAAGCAGTTTTCATAGCGTTATCTTTCGGTAAAAAGTAATTTATCTTTCGATTAGTCAGTAAAAAGATAAATTACGTTTACTTTCGAATTAACCAATCTATAATTGTTTACCAAACCGAGCGATTTAAAAATAATCAATTGCATTTCTTAATAACTTAATTTTTGCTTTATTTTTAACAACACACTAATCAGATATCAATTAAAATACATTAAAATATAGTATACAAGTAATAAAATGACGTTTCAAATGCCACACGTTTCACGTTTCATTCCTGGTACAGAATTACATAGCTTTTTTGTTTTTCCGCCCTAGCCTAAAAGGCTTATCAGTCTCGAAATACATTGATTCGCTTGAGAAGTCATTAGGTTATTTCGAAGTAAGAGACATGAAAAATGAGCAACGCCTTCGCCGGGACTCGAACCCCGGACCTCTCGAATATGCACCGAGTGTGCTGACCATTACACTACGAAGGCATACTAAGAAGGCGGGAGAAACAGCTTGTACGCTTTAAAATGTAGTCTACTGTAAATGCGTTATTTCACTTTTCATTCGAGTCAGTTGTTATTAGGGGTAAATGTAAAATATTTATCTTTCAAGTTGAACATGTCTGTTATTAATTAACAAATTAAGCTATTTAAAAGCAAGAAATGCAGTTCTAGGAGTGTTAATTTTTTACTTTCGAATTTGATTGATTTAAATAAAAATGCATTAATCCATTATATATCCAATTAAAAACCTTCAAAGTCTCGTTATATATTAGAGACATAGACGTTACATATATGTTTTCATTTTTCAAATATACAGAAAATATATAACGTTCCCCAGTTAGTCTCAATCTATATTCAATTTATTTCCTACAGAATGTTCCATTGTTCCGCTTGGGTCATCTCTGTTGATAATCACTACTGATAAACCATATATCAAACTTCAAAAGAGCCTTTTTAAGTAATCATTAAAATCTGAACCCATTCAGATTTTTTTTAATTCCCTCATTCAGTACTGCTCTACTGTACTCTAATTATATTTTTGTAATTGAAAGTGCTTTTTGTTTTTTCACAGTGAGAAGTTTCAATAAAAATTACATCATGAAAATTCAAGTGGTAAAGTTAAGCTGATTTTCTTCTTCCGTATACTGTTGATTCATACTGAGTTTTTATATCTCACTATATAAGGGTAAATTCACGACTTCTATCATAGATTAATATGAATAAAAATCTTTTTTCTGATATTCAGTATATTATGACCGAAAAGCCGGTTAAACCAAAATTAAGGAGAGGCTGGGGGAATCATTGTTTTACTGATATTTGGAACAGAAAAGAAAAATATTACCCGCATGTACATTGGACTCTTCCTGTTTGACATGTATCACCCATTTGAGCAAACTCATCCAAGCCTGAAAGAGGGAGTAAGAAAGTGCGGAAATCGCGTTAATCACGTTGTATAAAATAGTTCAGTTAACAAAGGGTTAGCCAACGGAAAAACATAGAAGTTCTGTTTTTTGTGGTACTGAATCCGAATTTTAGGTTTGCTATATCACCAGAGGCGAGCTTCACAACGGAAATTTAAAAAAAAAAAAAAAAAAAAAAAGAAAAAAGAAAAGAAAAGAAAAAAACCCTCAAAATGTTGGTGCTTTTTTTAGTTTTCCATGTATAACTCCAAAACTAAACTTTCTTCAAACATGATCAGGCTACAAAATCAAAGTGGACAAAATTTCCTTCAAAATACATGTATTAAATGTGGTGTTCGGACAATCTGCGATGACATTAGATCGCGCTGAAAAAAAACGCTTCTCTTTGGCTCTTATGAAAAACGCAGAAAAAAAAATTCAGGTGGTCGATTTTGCTTTAATATCAACGTCACACGCCCGAAACTAATTATTTTTTGAATGCTTTGTGTGACTAGATTATATCAATGGAATTAACGAACGTCAATATGGCACATGGTCGGCAGACCCACTAGTTTTATGGAAAATTGCGCCTCTCCTTGCTACATCTGCAAATCTTAAATGAAACTTGAATATTTTGAGTGAAATGATGATACAGTAGCCTAATTTTGTATATTAGATTTTGTACTAAACTGGAAGATCTAGAGTCAATGCAATTCTTGAAGAAATCCATTGAAAATAGTGTGGAGGAATGAAAATTTACAGCTGACGAATGAGATTGAAGCTGAATTTTGTCCTCATCCAAAAAACAGTAAAAGCAGACCTCCTTGATCTCTTCAAGCTTCTAGAGATGCTGTAGTATGAGCTAAAAGAAAGAAAATATCGACAAATGTACGAAGAAATCATTTTCATTAGCCAATTGCTTACTTACAGCCGTGATGCCAAGTCATATGTGTCTCCTCTGCAAATAGAGGCTGCGCCATTTTTGGAAAGAAAGGACGGATCCGAACGGTTTCTTAATCCGCTGAGTTCATTAGGATTATGCTCATCATCCGCGGAAGCCACAAGTATTGAAATATCCTCCATCATCGAGTCACCCCTCGCTCATAATTAACAAGCACTTTCTCAAATGGTATATGATAATGAAGACTTGAATGTGCGAATTATCAATGGGTACAGCATATTCCACTTGACGGGCGGCATATTTTGTGCGACACCAAAGTCTGCTGTTGTCCTGAGTCAACACAGCTCGTCTGAAGGATATACCTTCAGTTGGAAGTATTGGGTGTGTCGTTCCATTGAAACTAATGCCCAACATGAAATATCCCAGGCCGTTAACACAAGGTCCATAAAGCAAAACAACCTAAAACAGGATGTACTAAGCCTTCAGGATGGCAGTTCTGGTCCATCCGGAGGAAAAACTAGAGAGAAATCCTGACCCCTATGCAGGTATAAACTTCATACGCCAATTCATTCCAGCACATTCTATGTCTTTCGTCTTCTTTTCATATGATTCCATTGCTCAAACTAAGTTTTTTTGCAAGTAATAATCATCTGAAACTCCATCCTTTCTTTTACTGATGAAGATAATTCTCGGAAATATGGGAACTCAGCGTGACATAATATTTTATATCGACTGAAAACTTTTAATTACTTTTGCCTAAGAGTTTTTTTTTTTTTTTTTAATTTGTAAGTAAAATTTTATTTCGAACATATTTCCTTTTATCAGTACTTCCCTATTTACTCTACAAGACAAATTATATCGTATAGCATAGTACAAACACAGAAGCTAACAAATGCTCTCTGTCATTGACGATCGACAATTTAGACTGCAAAAGTAGTCTACTGTACCTTTATTTCTTTCAAAACATTCAACCGGGGATTTATAAAATAATACGTTTCGGGCATATGATGTTGATATTAGAGCACGACCACACAGATAGAAGGGCGTTTTTCACTGAAACCCAATATGTGGTCATTTTTCAGTCAGAGTCATTAACCACTAACCCGATTGGGTGGCTATTGCCTATTTAAAAAATTATATAAACTTGTTCATTACATATTTAATAAATCTAATTTTGTGAATATTTATATCATTACTGTAATAAATAAAAGATAAAGCCATGTATTATTAATCATCTCGATGCAGACTAAACATTTCTTTCCCTAAATTAATACTAAATTTCTACAAAATGTGTAATTAAACTTTTGCTAATTCTAAAACTTAAGATTTAAAAGAAATTCTTATTCGCAAGTTGGGCCTACCAGCGGCCGAGCGGTAAAGTCTCTGAACACTGGTAGTTCGGTCCGAGGTTCGAATCCCGCGAACGGGCTGGCTGCATGGGTGTTTTCGTGGTTTTCCCCCTGTGTAACGTGTATACGAGCCAGTTTCCCTTAGACAGTCCTCCACGAAAGCATCCCTTCCCTTAGGCAGATAGCCCTAGTGTGCTTTGCCATAATTAAATACACCATACACCACCACTATTCGCAAATTGATGTCGCTTTTGAGCATTTAGGCAAAGCGGTTTTCTTAATTAAATTATATTTTAATGAGTAAAGATAAAATTAAAAACTATATTCAAAATGATAGATGATTCAAAATGCCAGCTTTTTATATTAAAAGTTTTGAATTTAGTTTGTTTCGATTTCTATTTTTAAAATTAGTTTAATTTTACATTTCTGCTATGTTTTGGACTTGTTTAGCCTCAAGACTTGATAAACTGGTTAAGCAGGTCCTTTATATAAAATCTAATTCGCCTTAGAAGTATTACATGCAATAATTTATAATAATAATAAAAAAAGAATTTTCGTTGGTTTATTACATGATTTTTCCTTAAAAACTATTAATGTGCATTAAAATTGAACACAGCCACGAAGTATTAAAAGAGAAATCACAAATGAATGAGAGAAAAACCATTTTTATTAAAATTAAGCTGAAATTTGAGCTTTCAGTAAAGCTCATTTACATTGCAATTTTAGAAACAATAACTTTCAATCTAATAAAATATACATTGCACAAACCTTCGAGCTGAAACACTCAAAAGCGTCTTCTTGGTCTACAGAGATATTTAATTTCCTTATTTATTTTCCTGTACAGAACTTACATTATGCGGAGAGAGAAAAAAAATGACCCCGCAGAAAATGTGAAACACGCATAGAACACTCACAAAATACAATATTTCTACAAGAAAACGAAAGGTTCCACAATGAAATTTTGCTAAAAAATATCTAGTGGAACATCTATCCTATTTTCATCAAAATTGTGCTAGAGTTAGTAGTTTTTATGATGCACAAAACTGTTATATTCAGTGATGCCTATCCCATATAAACGTGATAAATTAACTGCTAATTTCAACAATTTTAGATTGACATTAATTTGCTAGTAATGTACATTTTTCCTCGAATATTTTTCAATACTAAAACACATTTAATTGTTAAAATTTTAAAAAAATGTATTGTCATTTATAATATATTGATTTATTGCATAATCTGTTTTTAAGCTAAAAACTGCTAGTGGTGCGCTAAGCATTTGAGCTTTAAAACTCTGGCAATGAAATATTACAGGAGTTATGTTTGTATTAACTCAAACAGAAAATTCTAGCAGTTATCGTTGGAATACTCAATAACCAAATAATTTAAAAGCAATAATTTATAAATTTTTACCATTATTTTACTTATTATCAAATTATCTTATATATTGAATATATCAAATTAGTTAGACTTCCAGAGAGTGGCAATCACTATCACGTGACGCAACACAAGCATGCACGTGCGCATTGATTTTTTATACTTTTTTATAAAGCTGTCACGTTACCAAGTTGCCGTAGACAGAAAGTCTATTTTATTTTATTCACATCTTAAATAAGAAGAGTGTATTGTCTACAAATGGTAGTTCAAGAGGCATTTATTGGCGCGATCATTCCAAAACTCTCAGTATCACTGATTACGATTTCAAGAACATATATATTTCAAGCTAAAAAAAAAAAAAAAAAGATCTAACAAAATATTTAACAACAAATTTAAAGACTCCATTTATACAACTAATTAATTTTACAAAATTTAAGTTATCAAAATCACGATTTTGAGATATTTTACCTTCAAACGTTCTGTTCCAATTTTGATAACCTTGAATTATGAATACAAGCCTAATAGTTAAATCAAGCCAAAATTATAATATACATATATATTTACATTACAGTCAACGCAAACAGTGACGAGAGCCTTTAGCTTTAAAATTAAACAACATATTCGGAAACGAATATTTTTACATCGCAATTAAAATTCCTAAATTGAAGTGTAAAAACTTGCTGAAAAGTTTATAATTTCGAAGTTTCTTCGCAGTTTTATACATCAAAATTTAAAATTTTCCCACATTGCAATTGCTCACAATGGTAAAACACATTCATAATAACAGCAAGTAGTATATTAATCAGACTGTATTCGAAGATTCTGTCTATTGTACCCAAAGATTCTGTCTATACAACTAAGTAATAGTGGAATTCCAATTTGCAATTTATCTATGCATGGTGGATTTTTTACCAGGGGTGACAGTAATCTGATTCCTTCCAATTTCGTGCATAAAAATGTTCTGCCATTCTAGATATAAGTATTCAATGGCACAATAGTCTTAGCACTGTCACAGAGAGAGGCCGTTTGGGGAACATATTAAATGTGTACATTGCCAACTTGAATCAGGTTTCCAGTTTGACAATTCCGAATGGCGACGAAGGAATACGACCAGATGACGTGCCAGACGTCGACGATGTTGAAGCTATGACAGATGTTGCAGCATGGTGTTGGTGGTGGTGATGGTAGAAAGAATTGAGTCCTTGAAGAGCATGCAAGGCAGAAGATTGGTGTTGGCTTGAACTAGAGTGCTCAACAGAATGATGGTTGGCGTAGGAAGAGTGCTGCAGGTTGTGTCTTCCTGCATCGTCGTTAACTGAATGTTGCTGCTGATGATGGTGGTGAGTACTGCTCGATTGCTGCTGCTGTTGAGAATGCTGTCTGTGGAGCACACTTGGATCACATGATGTTGGAGATGTTGTAGTTGTGACAGCGTTGTGGTTGGATGCATAGCTACTAGTCGTCGACGCCAAGGAATAGTTAGCTGAAGCAGAAGATTTCATATCTCCGGGGCTGTTAGATCCTGAGGAAAAGAATTCACTATATTGAAAGGCTATACGACATACAATAAAGTGTTGTAACTTGAGTAGCAATCTGAAAAAGTTAAACTGACTTAAGAATTCAACAAAATATGAAATAACTAGTGCAACGTAACTTATGACAAAGAAGCAAGAGAAAGAAAATATGTTGTTCGGCTCTCATTAATCGTCCGGTTTAGTGTTTTAAATAATTACACCTTGATAAGTTATGTCTGAAGTAAGTTATGTTTATAAGTAAGTTATGTTTGAAGTAAGTTATGTCTGAGTTATTTTCTTCCTCCTTTCCGTATGCTTTCGTGGTGTAATTGGAAGCATATTCAAGAGGTCTACTGTTCGAATCCCGGCGAAGGCACTGCACATTTTCAGGACTCCTGCTTCAAAAAATCCAAATGACTCGACAATATATACATTAAATTCCAGACCCTGGGACGTATATATATATTTTAGACCTTGGCTACTCAATTGGTCTATTGATAAACGAATTAATATATATATATATATATATATATAAATATGTCCCAGGGTCTTGAATTTTCTAAGATATATATAATATAATATATAGATACTACTCATTGGTAGTGAAAGGATTTAAGCCTTTAATTAAAAATTAAAAATTTCCAAGTTCCCAGATGCTAACCTTAGAGATTAGTTCCCAGATAACTAATCATGAGTGTATTTAGCTATACTTTTGGAATTTTGGAACTTTATCTATACTTTTGGAATAACTGAATATAGTAATAATGATTCGATATTCATGATTGATAATTTATATCAATCATGAATATCGAAATTATGAAAAAGCACTTCAATAAATTCAAAGTACTGAATAACTAGTCACAAACTGCCTATTTCCTGTTTTACATTCCAGTTCTTCTGATTACACCAACTGTTACTCTCATTGTTCTAAAAAAATTATATATTAGATCTGAATTTTAATTTTCTTAATAGAATTACAGGGGCTGATTCTTTTAGATATCATGCACACGAATTTGGTTAAGAAACATCTAGGAGAGGGGAGAATGTGAATTATTGAATAGGAGAGGTGCGAAAATTTTTCAAAGGAAAATGAAGGAGCGAAAAACAAAAATGCACTAAAAATCATTCATTTTTTGTACCCGCCTCTTCTATGAGTAAAGAATAGAGAAAAGGGTAGAGAAACAACAATGTAATAAACAGTTTGGATCGTGGCAGATGTTTCTGCAGTCCTTATTGTCTTTTTTTTTTTTTTTCTGTAACCTGTTTTTGCACTGCACCCCGTCGCGTGCTGTGCGGAGAAAGTACTTGACTCGATATAATGTAAAGACATATGACTAATACGCCCACTTGATGACATTACTCACAGAATGGCATCGAAAGTTACAGGAAACACTCTTCCGCCATGTTTTGATACCATCTTACAACACAACTGAAGGCACTGCGGTGAAGAACACGATGAGCTTTGAAAATTGGCGCAGAATATTTATAACTTTGTATATATTTGCATAGTTTGAAGTGATTCTATAACTTGATCTTTTACATTTACATACAGTGGCATTTAAAACACAAGGATAAAATAAAGACATATTTCATTTATTTTTATTCTATCTTGAGCTTCTCTCACTAGCAGCAATTTTATGTTCTAAGAGTAAAAAAAAAAAAAAAAAACTAGGTAATCTGGTGGTCCAAAGGTACCTCAAGGAAGGTTCAATAAAAATTCTAGAATGTATTATTTATTTGCAGGATTTTACTTTACTATGAGTTGAATCTTTACTTTAATTCCTTTTCTCTGCGGTCCTTGCTAGAATGCAAATTAGTTGCTGTGTGCTAAAGCGGAGGATCTGAGTATTTTAAAGTTTCTGGCAGCTTCGAATTGCTACTGCCAAAGTCAAACCCTGTTTAGCATCTTGCTAGCCGACGTTTAAAATACACGCCGTTAATTATCTTGAGCCAACTTATTGTGTGTATAGTCTTACCTAATATTACCTACACTTGAATTTATCTTATGTCCGTAAATATTAGAAATCCATCTTCAGTACAAGCTGTGCCTTTTGTTCGTTTAGGAATTAAAATATGTAGGTTGTTTTAACCTTCTTACGTCTTCGTCAATTACTACAGACTAAAGCGATAACTTGCTTTCGAATCTAGTAGGATCTACAGGCCATTGAGACAAACTTATAAACGTAACATTTTTACCTGCATTTGCAGAACTTTGCAAATGCTGCTAAATGAAAAAAAATAATTTCATGTAAGTTCATTAGCAGATACTGCGCGGAAGTGTGTAACAAATTTATTAATAATTTTTCGGAATTTACAAACATTTAAGGAATTTAGTGGAAACTAAATATACCATGCTTAAAAATTACCAGATGAAAAGACAGATTAATATCGAATAGTATTCCATATAGATTGCTACAAGGAAGCTTAGTATCCCCAGCTTCGTTGCAGTTAGATGCATCCCTAACTGCAATGAAATTTTTGTAGAGCTATGGAGCAAATAATCCAGAGGCTCTTGGAAGACACTAGCGGACTTCTGTCTCAGAATCCTTTTTTATAATTTATCCTGCGCTATAAATCCTTTTTTTTTTTTTTTTTTTTTTTTTTTTGGTAGAAGGAGATTTTTTAGCACCATTCTGTCTCCTTCAAAGCCCTTCGTGGGTTTGATATTTCGTAAAGTATATTTCAAGTCTCTGCAATCAGTACTCTAGATTTCAAAAGCGCTAGCAACTCTCCTGCACAGGAAGCCACCGAATGAGCAGTTGTTCCTACTGAAAGACATTCAGCTTTTTCTGCTCATTTAGTGGCTTTTATATTAATAACATAAATACCTAAAAAATTATAAATAAAAATTAAAATTATACTGCTTTGAGATTTTTGCTGTTTATAATAAGATAGTTCATTAGAGTCTGAAGCTTCTGGCGAAGAGATTTATTCCTGATTGCTGAAACCATTCACGAGCATCGTTTGTTGCATAGGACCAAAAATGTAGCTCTTTGCTTATTTAAACACTGAAACAAGTAGTAATATGATGTACCTGGTAAGCCAAATGACGTACTATACAAAATGTACCACAAAAATGTACCACAAATGATACTGTCAGTGTTATGTAGCCCAAAACTAAATAAGAAAGCCACAAAAGGTTTATGAGACTGTCAGAAGATAAGTCACTGGCACTATTTGTAGAAACTAATTTACTTGAGGGGATGGGTAAGAAGGTAAATGTTCTTCTTCCAGTGACTTCTTGTAACCATAAAAATTTCCACTGTGACATAAGATCTTTTTCTAAACGAGATTTTAAGTAAGAAATTGTATTAATCAAAGACATAATTGATGTTAAAATACTGTTTGCAGGCTCTCATGCTAGCTAGCTGATCAGTGATCTCATTGCCGACAGTGCCCACATGGGCACGTGTCCAATATAATTTTGGTTTTGTACCTGTTGGAAAGTGCGTTAACAGATACTGAATATCTCTCATTAATGGAGAGCGACTTTGCGTTACTACAGCTTGAAGACTCGAAGCACTGTCAGATATTATAACTAGCTGTAGAGAACATTTTTGCAAATTTAAATGTCTCTCAAATTGCCAATAGTTCTCAGGGTGTTGCATTATGATTAAATTCTCCAGGAATATCAAAGAACAATCAAACATGATATTGAATATCTTCGATACCACATAGTTCTCTAGCTACAGCTTCATTTTCCAATACCTCTAAATGAATCCATTTACCATGATACCTCCTCGTATTAGAATTCCAAAGCATTCTAGAACATTCTAGAGAGAGTAGTATACTGCTTTGAGGCAGATCAAATGATATCTAGAATCCGATTAGAGATTGAATATATAGGGTGTTTATAAAGTCCGGGACCCGTTTTGATGTTTAATAACTCAAATAATAAAGATAGATTAAAATTAATAACATAAATGGTTAGATAGACTTAAAAAGTTTCATGACCCTTGTCAATGAACTTCCACGTGTCGTACTTCGTCGCACGGAGAATATCAAGTCGATATTCAATTTAACGCCAGGTACCGGCAAGCATGTCGGCATCCACAGTCGTATACTTAGACATTTTGGAAAACTTAGTATTTCTACAACTAAGAAGAGCTTCAGCCGCATGTCGTTTTGCAACAAGATGGTGCACCACCTCATTGGGGTACCATCGTTCGTAGTCTTTGAATGACCATTTTACAGGAGATGGGAGGGCGAGGGTGGTCCATCCTGGCCACATAGATCACCTGATTAAGGCACTGGACTTTTTCTTTGGGAATTGTAAAGGAAACTTTACAGGAGAAGAGTGTCGACATTGATGCCTAAAAGCCGAATACAACCTCAATAGCCTCTGGATGCCGACACGCTTGCCGGTACCTGGCGGAAATTGAATATCGATTGATATTCTCCGTGCGACGAAGGGGGCAAAGGGAAGTTAATGACAGGGTCATGAAACTTTTTGAGTCTATCTAACCATTTATGTTATTAATTTTAATCTATCTTTATTATTTTATGAGTTATTAAACATCCAAATGGGTCCAGGCCTTAATAAACACCCTGTATATTCATATGCGAAAGAATGCATTCCCAGCTGATAATTTGTTCAGTTTCTGTGGATGCATTACTAGCAAAGTATGAAACGCTGGTATTCCTTAGAATACCTAGGCATTTTAGAGAATGCCTGGCGTTTTTAGGGAAAGCACGAAATACGAGAATTATTATATACTTTACCTAAGCATAGTATATAATAGCTAGACACTCTGTAAAATGAGAAGTGCTCTTTAGGCAGAATATGAAAAAAAAGGTCATGTTAAGGCTATTGTTTAAAAGACGTTCATGCCCCAAAATACAAATGTTATTTTGAAAAAATAATGAGAGAGTGTGATAAAAATTTTTTATTCGAAATACGTAAGGAAAAACGTGAGTTGTATGAAACAATATTTATGCCTTTCTTATTAAAAAAAAATACAATTTTCATATAAAAAGTAAGAAATTAAAATTAACATGTTTGTTGCAAAATGGTAGGCTTGAATGACATTTTGAATTCGTTACTTTTTCCTACACAGACGTTTCATAGTTCGGCACTTTCTTTTACACATATACTTGACGATTTCTTAGCCAATGCCATTGGAGTGAGCAACTGCAGCTGACCAGAGAAGAATTTAGTGGTCAGGAATATCTTCAATTCTAAGCAAATTCTGAGGATATAAAATTAACTGTGATCTCGTATAGTGTTGTTTCAAAATCCTTTCAAAAGTTCCTAATCGGTAGAAATTATCCTCTCTCACACTCATTACAACTGCCAATATATTGCACGAATTATTATATACTTTCCTTAGGCATTGTATATTACATGGAGGTGTATTTTATACTTTGCCAATTGACATTCTAAGCCTAGGCAATGTGTGAAATGTTTAAACGTTTCATACATTGCCGGCGAGTTTTCGGCATTCTATAAAATGCCTAGTATTCTACAAGATGCCGGGTTTTATTGCTTTATCGGTAACAAATACAATACTTATCGGTAACAGATACAATACTTGTTACTTGTTACAATGCATTAACAAACATCCTGATCCAAATCTCATTCTAAACGACTCTAAATGAGGCTTAGAATGAGCTTTGGATTTAAGATTTTATCGTTTAAATAAAGCCACTTTAAAAAAACCGTCTCACACCTTCATTTATCGACAATTGCTTATGCCGTTAAAATGTAAGATCTCGTTAAGTTTTTAACCAGTTATTTTATGTTCATGAACTTTCCAATCATTCTCATTTCCATTTTCCTACCAGAATGGAAATTTCTAGCTCGAGCAATATTAAAATAAGGTGAAAAGAAGAGAGTATCAAAAAGAAAAATAAGGTTTTGTAGGGTAGAAACAGAGCGTGTTCTGCCTGCTGAAGACCGCTTTGCTAATTTCGATTCTCCTGAATGTAGTATTTCATGGCGGTGTATAAGTCTTGCCGGTAGGCTTGCCATGCCGACTTTTACGTTACAGCCAACTTGCGCGTTACTTAAATTGTGTAGGCGTGAGGCTAACTTACTATTACTTAGTTAATTCAACTTCTTTATTTTTGATTTAAGCCGTAATTGCTGTCTATATCCTGTAAGCACGAGTGGTGCCATCTGTTAACTTTTATTTTGAGTTGAATAAAAAGTCCTTTACGTCCTTTCTCTGAGGGACCTTACAATATATAGTGATGATTCATGTAGTCTTCATATATTTCGTACATTTTATGTTCCAAAGAATACGAAACGTTCTAAAAGAAAATAAAGTCTAACAAGGTCATGAAACATGGCGTAAAATCCCTGCTACATAATCTTTCGTATAAGGTTTCTGATCTTCTAATAACTGCTAGATATATTGAACGAAAATGCAAGAGGCAAGGATAAATATTTTGCATCTATTAAAATTCCTTCGACACAGATATTCCAGTTTAGAGTTTTCAGAAGCCCTGGTTATGCAGTTGTATATTGAAATATTACTTAGCCATTTAATGGTATTTCACCCAATTTAATTTTTCTTTTTAACTTAGGCTTACAATCCTCCCCATGGAAAAGCAAAAATTAAGAAGTTATTTGAGGCGTGCGCAAATGCTTACATTTTCGAAACTACAAATGTTGCAATCAATCTAAATACATCATTAGATACATAAAGGACCACATTAGCAAACACAAGCAAAAATTTTAAAAATTGGAAAAATTATATACGCATCGTAACGCGTCAAAAATAGCGAAACTTTAGTGACGTCAAAGCTCCGTGGACATGAGCGATCGCATGTGAGTTGCAAAGCCGTCTGCAGACATCTTATATTATGCATCTTATGTCTCATATCATCAACCAACTTTATTTTGTCATTTTGAATGAATAAATGTAATAAATAAAAAATAAAATAAATAAAATATATGTGTGTGTAAAATCTTTTCTTCTCTGTAACATTTTTCACACTTCTCTTTGTAATGCTAGGCATTAAACAAAAATAGAAAGGCCTATCGTCAATTTTTTATTTTTAAAAATGCCTTTTTCTATGAGTGTAATGTTTCTTTTCCTAGAAAGTTTAGTAAAGTAAAATACACATACCAATTAAACCTCTAACGCTTTATTCCATTTATGAAAGGAAGTAAAATAAAATATAATAAACATGTAACAAGTAGTTACCAATATAATGTAACTTTTAGATAATTCTGGCTGGCATTAAATATTATATAGCATACTATTAAAACTGCATTGTAGAATTTGTTACAATATACGATTTTATACGTTATTAATCGTAATTAATACTTAATACGTAATTAATTTTCCAGTTCTAATTCTTTTAATAACTTTTGAGAACTGTTTTCTTTGTTTATACCTGAAGTTGTAGTCAAGGCTTTTCTCTTTACATCTTGATTAGCACTCTTTGGCTTTCTCTTTCGTTTTTGAATTCCTTCTTTCTTCATTGCAGGGGGTCTATTGACCTGTAACAATTAAAAGAACATACCCTTGTTATTGCAAAGCAGGAAAGTAGAGCTAAGATATATACATCTTAAAGAAGTAGAAAATCATGAAACAATAGATGCAAAGTATTAAATTTTAAGTCTCGAAATTTTTCATAAATATAAAGAGATAAACATATAGCATATAAACATAACGCTAAACAAAAGACACAGGGATTTTAATTATGACGTGTTTCGTTTAAATTTTATTTTTCATATTAATCGTATTGTAAAGATGTACTCTATTAGCCATGTAAGGTTTATTTCAATTAACATGTTATTTTCTAGGTGGAATCTTATCTGTGCTTCTACTGTTTCGTCTATTCCACCAGAAAATGCAAGTGGAATGAGTTTAAATCATGAACTAGAATCTAAGTTTAGAGAGAGAGGAGTTGGCAACCTCAGCCTACTAAAATCCACTGTGTCTGCCTACCTTTAGGCCTTAATTTGAACCGAAAGACAAACTCACCTGGGTGAGTTTGTCTTTCGATTCAAATTAAATTAGAAGCTTGTGAAGAAGCCTAGCCATTTGTTAGACTTTACTTTTGTTTTCAAATCAGATTTGCAAAGAATGTGGATGATTATTGTCTGTTAAGACCTCAAGAAGTTATTTCTTTAAATGCTTTCTTTTTCTTATAACTTCGAACTGAAATGATAATAAATGTTTGATTTTATATGCAGTTATTCATATTTTAGTACTTTAGGTTTGAAAATAAAGACAGAACTATAATTCATTCTACATATCGTCAACCAAGAAGATAAAACTAAGAAGAAAGATCTAAGAAGAAGTCTTAATTAGTATACACACCTTATCTAAGCTGAGTTTAATCTTAGCAACACAGACACTTTTTTTAATTAGTAAATAATGAAATAACATAAAGTCTTAAGTTTAATTAATGGAATTTGCTACAGACTTTTTACTTTAGAATAGGCAATTCAAGGCTACTTTTTGTCAAATCCATGACTCGCAGTTATGGCAACCACTGCTGCGGAAAAAAATTCGAATCCACCAATTTACTAAAAAATGTCTACTTCCCTTTGAGCGGTGAACACACATTACAATCATAAATAAAGGGAGGGTCAATATGATCTTGAAGTGTCTATTTTAAAGCAACAGAGTGTAAGAAAAGGCGCGAATATAATGAGATAGCGGCTGCATCGAATAAAAAGGCAAAATCATTTTAATTAACACGTACTCTATTATAATTCCTCATTTTCATATCGAGTATGATATAGGGATAAACTAGTACATCAACTAAGCAAATGGACATTGTAAATTATATAAGTCGTTATAGTGTTGTATTAATAAATATATAAGCATATTTAATAGCCAAATATATACCGTAATACCCATAAATATTTTTTTTAAATACCAGAAAAGGAAGTTAAATTATTTACTATCTTTAAATAAATGAAGGAAGAATAAATAAGACTTTTAAGATCTTAAGAATCTTAAGAAGAAGACGTGCGAAACATTGATACGGAATTTTTAAAACAAACATCACCTGCAAAGTGACTAGAAGACAAACACGCTAATGTGACAATCAAAAATCGTAAAAACAACCTTGTATCTGAGAATTTTCAGATTCCCATCAAAGAAGACATTCCACTGTTAGAAATAATATTAATGACCTTGTCGTGCTTCCATTTTATCCTTCTGTTAGCTATAAAATTGCACGGATTCTCCAGAAATTCAATTTTCAAGTCGGTTTCTCCCCTATTAATAAAATCCACCCTTCGATTCTAAAAGATTGCGTTTCTGTCTTGAATTCTTGGGGAATTTATAGTATATCGTGTCAGTGTGGTTTAAGATATATTGGCCAAACAAAAAAAGCGTTGAAGTTTCGTATCAAGGAACATGAATCTTATGTCAAAAAGGGCGAAATTAACAAGTCTTCAATAGCGTATCATAGTTGGACATTTAACCATAATTTTGATTTTGGGTCTGCAAAAAATTATCCAAAAGGCTTCTTCCATAGGTGAATTGGATTTTCTTGAGGCTTTTCACATTCACAAAGATTTAGAAAGGTTTAGTTAATGATTTGAAGTCCAATCCAGTCCTTCCTAATGCCTTTAAAATTCTACTATCTTAATTCCGTTATTTTTGCCGATAGATGGCGTTACCTCCTCGCGTTTGGTACTACCAGAGGATATAAAAATCCGTTCAGTGGTTGCTTTCCACTATTTGAAATTCAGATTTTGAGCGTAATGTGCACGTGCATTTGCCCCTCGCTCCCTATTTTAACTTCGCTAATTTTTCTTGTCCTTTATCAGATAGCCTGGCTCAGTAAAAGTAGGCGGCCAGTGCAACTCTGATTAAAAATCTAGTTATAACCACGTGCAGTGCTGATAAGGACCACGTGTTTCTGTGACCACCTTCTCCTTTATTTTCTTCTTTCTAGGTATTTCTTTCTCCTGATGAGGAGGGACCTTTAGCTGCCCTCGAAATCGATTGAATGTTTCATTATACTTACGCTAAATACAAGGTTGTTTTTACGATTTTGATCACCTGAAAAATTCATGAAAAAATTTAATAAAAATTATTCTAATTTGAAAGTTTGTTGATGAAAGGATAATTTAGAAATGCTCAGTTCTTAGGAATGAAATAGCATTTCACTAGGAATGGGTGACACTATTACCAATTTTTTTTCATTTGTACTTTATTTTTAAAAGAATGACCTTGTTAAGAGATTCTCAGATTCTGAAGACTTGAGATATATTAATATGAAATGAATTTTAAAACAAAAATCACCTGCAAAGTTCGTGTAAAAATTAATCAAAATTATTCTAATTTGAAAATTTTTTGATGAAAGGATAATTTGGAAATGCCCCAATTCTAGGAATGAAATAGCATTTCGCTAGGAATGGATGATACTATTACCAATTTTTTTCATTTGATTACTTTATTACTTACTTATTTGATTACTTTATTTTTAAAAGAATGACACTGTTAAGAATTTCTTAGTTTTTGAAGAAAATTTATATGAAATCAATTTTCTTCAGAAATGAAATCAATTTCCTGAGAAAGATTAATGTGAAATCAATTTTTGAAACAAACATCACCTACAAAATTCATGAAAAATCTAATAAAAATCACTCTAGCCGGAAAATTTTTTGATCAATTAGTTGAATTGCATAAAAGTTTAAAGTGCTCCATGTGTAACTTCCCGCAGAGGATTATTTATCGGCTCTTTATTTATAATTGTAATTTAAGCACTTAGGTATGTATAAACAACTACTGTTATTTTCATAAACCACTAAAACTATCAAAACTAAAACTTTGATAACTGGGAATGTAGATGACACTTGGATACTGAAATGTAAGCAACATAAGTCCATTTGAATAGTTTTTAAAACAAAGTAAAAATTTCGAATATAGAAAAAAAAAAAAAAAAATTAACACATAAAAACCTTTCCTAACTTCAGTAAACTACCGTAAACTGATTTTTTTAACTTTAATCGCGTAATGCAGTGGACCTTCCTATCAACCGAGGCGGTTTTACCAGTTCCTGTCTAGGAAAAAACAGAATGAAAAGTTTATAGACTGCTCCAACAACGGAAGAATTATCATCACAAAACATCAATGAAAACAAACTGTGAAAAATACAAAAATAAAGAAAGAATGTTTGGGATAACATCAGCGATAGCAATAATGTCAAAGCATTTGTTGTTTTTATCCATAAAATATGTTACTTAATCTTATGTAATCTGGATCATATACTGTGCTCACGAAAATCTTCACCCGCCCTTCATATTCGCAACCGTTGGTTGTTGACTCTACTTCCAAATACAAAAAAGTTTATAAACAACGCAAATGTTCATGATTTCGAATTTTTAATTAAAAAAAATAAGTTTTTTATAAAATACGAAATCTAACTTTTTATGCATTCCTTCGATTCCTATACTCAGAAAAATTTTGTACTCTTCGTAAAAAGTAAAACAGAAAAAGGTTTCAAAATTTGCAATATTCGACCTTATTTTAAATTTACATCAAAGTTGATATATCAATTAGAATAATTCGAGCTTGATTTCATTCCCCTTAAATGGCACTCAGTGGTATTCCTTTGCAATTTATTTATAATCATATCTAGTAATTTATAATTTTATTACATTTGATGTTTCAAAAGAATGCCCACGAGAGCGAACAAGTCCCCTATATGATAGTTTTTGTTTTTATCCCAATATGTTATCATAAATATGCGCCAGTTTTCGATTAAAAATTCTCCATGGATAGAAGGCAGTCAATTCTCGAGTGCTTTTTCATAATTATATTAGTAGCAAACCACCAACTTTCCGCTGAGCATTTAATTTCTCTTAAAAGAGCAATGGAACCCTTCCTAACTGTGTCCTTCCACGCTCATGTCCATAAATTAAGGATAATTCGCAAATGTAAAATCACTGCACACATCTTCAAGAATCATATGCAAATTTCAGGAAGTAGCCAGATGACACCGATGGTACGTCACAATGACGAGAGTGTAAGAGAGTGATATATAAAGAATACAGGCAAAGTAAAATTGTTCGCAGGCGCTTTATAAGCATTTCAGTGCAATAACCGAATAGTTATGACACAAAGGACGCATTTGGATGATTTTTTACGTGGTAGAATTATCGGCCGTCTGGAATGTGGGGGTACCCAACTGGAAGTATCAGACGAACTTGGAATTGCCCAGAGTGTCATCTCCAGGCTTTGGCAACGATTCCAAGATGATGGTAATGTGAGTAGACGTTACAGCACAGGTCGCCCCAGAGTTACAACGCCGAATGAGGACCGGTATTTGGCAGTTACTGCCAAAAGAAACAGGCGGAGCACAGCCTCAGACCTGTCTCGTCAGCTCTCTTCAGCCACTGGTACGACAATTTCATGCTCGTAGACCTGTCAGATGCGTTCCACTTACTGCAACTCACTGTCGCCTGCGGTTAGCCTGGAGTAGAGAGCATGCATTGTGGACACCGCAACAGTGGGCTTGTGTGATGTTTTC